TGATATCCATGATGTAGCAGGGAGCAGTCAGTCAGAACTGCTGACTAAAAGTTAGGAATGTCTTAACTGATTCATCTTGTTTATATTTTTCCATACATAGGTGTGAAAGTAGAATGACAAAAATCTGTGTCAGGAATGCCTTTTTCATTAAATATAACCTGAAACACATATAATAAGAAAACTATCATTACATTTTAATTGGCCATGTCTTTCTTCCTTAGTGGTAGATAAAATACAGTCGATGCTATCTTGGATTCATGAAATACAACAAATTTCTATCACCCATCTGTTAGTTTTGTCTGTGGTATCTTCACTGAACCAAAATTCTTAGTTTTAACTTGGTCATATCCATCCATTTTAGCCTCATGGTTTGTGTGTTTGGAGACTTGCTCTAGAAATCATTTCTTATTCCAAGCCATACAGATTTTCTAAATTTTCTTCTGTTATCTTTTTCAGAGTACTCTTTAGGCTTTTAAAATGCCTGGAATTCACCTTTGTATGTGGTTATTCAATTTGATTTTTTCCCATTGAGAACAAAATATGTGTAACTTAGTAGTGGGTGCAGCTGCTGCTGTTTGCAGGTGTTTATATGTAGGCATACCTCATTTTATTGCACTTTGCTTTGTTGTACTCCTGTGTGTGTGTGCGCGCGCGCGCTCAGTCGTGTCCAACTCTTTGCGACCCCATGGACTGTAGCCTACCAGGCTCCTCTGTCCATGGGATTTTCCAGGCAAGAAAATTGGAGCAGGTTGCCATTTCCTACTCCAGGGGATCTTCCCAACCCAGGGATCAAACCCACGTCTCATGTGTCCCCTGCATTGGCAGGTGGATTCTTTACCACTCTACCAGCTGGGAATTCCATTGCACTCCCGTAGGTACTGCATTTTTTACAAATTAAAAGTTTGTGGCAACCTTGTGTTGTCAGATGATGGTTGTCATTTGTTAGCAATAAAGTATCTTTTAAAAATTAGAAAATAATTTCTTTTAGTTTTATTAAGCTATACTTGACATATAGCACTGTATAAGTTTAAGGTGTACAGCATAATGATTTGACTTACATAGATCATGAACTGATTACCACATTAAGTTTAGTGAACATCATCTCATACAGATTCAAAATTAAATAGTAATTTTTTTTCCTTCTTTACAGGAGTAAAACTTGTTTGCCTCTCAACAATTTTCATATATAATTTAACAGCAGTGTTAACTATATTTGTCATGCTGTACATGCATTACAGGCAGATTCTTTATGATCTGAGCCACCAGGGAAGCCTGTTACATCCCCAGTACTTAATTATCTTATAAGTGGGAGTTTGTACCTTTTGATCACCTCAATCCAGTACCCCCTCTCCCTAACCTGCCTCTGATAACCACAAATCTGATCTCTTTTCCTATGAGTTTGTTTCTTTTGGAAGTATGATTGACTTAAAATACTGTGTTAGTTCCTGGTACACAACATGGTGATTTTATATTTGTATACATTTCAGAATGATCACAATGATGAATCTAATTGCCATTTATCACCATACAAAGATACAATAATCATTAACTATATTCCCCACACTATACATTTCATATCCATGACTCATTTATTTTATAATTGAAAATTTGTACCTATTCTTCCTCACCCATTTTTTCTCATTCATCCACCTTCCCTTCCCTCAGACTGTGACTCTGCTACTCTGTGACTGCTTCTGTTTTGTTATGTTTGTTCATTTGTTTTGTTTCTCACATTCCACATGTAAGTGAAATCATACATATTTCTCTTTCTCTGACTTACTCCACTCAGCATAATACCCTGTAGATCTATTCATGTTCTCACAAGTGGCAAGATTTTGTTCTTTTTTTTTTGGCTGAGTAATACTCCTTCGTGTCTGTGTGTGTGTGTGTGTGCGTGCGCGCGCGCGCGCGCACACGCATTTACACACACGTATCTTACATCTTCTTTATCCATATTGATGGGCACTCAGATTGCTTTCATATCTGGGCTGTTGTAAATAATGCTGAAATAAACATAAGCATGAAAAAATATTTGCTAATGAGTGTTTTTGTTTTCTTTAGATAAATACCCAGGGTTAGAATTGCTATATTGTATGACAGCTCCATTTTTAATTTTTGAAGTGTTTCCACGCTGTCTTCCATAGTGGCTGCACCAGTTTACATTCCCACAATTAGTGCATGAGGGTTCCTTTTTCTTCACATCCTTGCCAACATTTGTTATTTGTCTTTTTGATGATAACTGTTCTGACAGGTGTGAGGTGGTGTTTCATCGTCGTTTTGTATTTTCCTGATGATTAGTGATGTTGAGTATCTTTTGTGCCTGTTAGCCATCTGTATGTTTTCTTTGGAAAAATATCTATTTAGATCCCTTGCTCATCCTGTCTTGTTCCTAATCTTAGAGGAAATGCTTTCAGTTTTTCACAGTTGAGTATATTAGCTGTGGGATTGCTCTTTGTGAACTTTATTATGTTGAGGTATGTTCCCTCTGTACTCACTTTTTTGAGAGTTTTTATCATAAATGGATGTTTAATTTTGTCAAAACTGTCTCCTTGTTGAGATGCTCATGATTTTTATTCTTCAGTTTGTTAATATGATAGATCATGTTGATAGATTTTTGGATATTGAACCATCCTTGCATCCTTGGGATATATTTCACTTGATCATGGTGTATGATCCTTTTAATGTATTGTTTAATTCAGCTTGCTGATATTTTGTTGAGGATTTTTGCATCTATGTTCACCAATGATACTGGTCTGTAATGTCCTTTTTGTGTGAAATTTCTGTGATTTTATGTGTGTGACATTTTATTCCTTCTACTAACTTCAGAGTTTGCTTGTTCTTCTTCTAGCTCCTTTAAGTGTAAAGTTGTCATTTATTTGAGAGATTTTTTGTTTCTTGAGATACTCTTGTATTGCTTTAAACTTGCAACAGCATACTTCCATCTGGTCACCAGAGCTACATGTTCTGAGCATGCCCTGTGTGTGCTAAGTGAGTCTGTTTCAGTGGGCTGATTGCTGTGTATACTTGGTAGCCATGGCTGGTTCTTGGTCTAGTTGGTTGCCACAGAAGTTGTGAAGAAGTTGTTGGCCCCTGATGGGCATGTCCAGATCCTGCACAACTGGCTGCATGGCTAGTGGAGTCCCAGTCCTGGGGCCAGCCCACTGTGGGTGGGCCCAGGTTACGAAGTAGCTGACTGAAGGCCAGGAGCCGCAAAGCTAGTGTTTACCTAGTGTTGGTGGGCAGGGTTAGTCTTGGGGTTCCTGCAGCTCACGGGGTCCTGTGACAGCCAGCCTGCTAGTAGGGGGGACTGGGTCTCTGCCCATCGGGCCCCGTGGCCTGGCGTTTCCCATACTAGTGCTGACTGTCTGATAGAGCTCAGTTTCAGCGCTCATAAGCTAGAGTAAGAATTCCAAAGTGGCACTTGTCAGCACCAGTGTTGCCATACGTGATGATCTCCCACAAATGACTGCTGCCAGTATCTCTGTCCCCATTTAAGTCCCATTTGCCTCCTGCCTCTCTGGGAGGCTCTCTTAAGATCAGTGAGTGGGTCCTTTCATATTACTGATTCTGCCTTCCATTCTGGAATGTTTGAGATTTTGTGTGCAGCCTTTGTCTACATGGATATTTTGGTTTTTCATGTTTTTGTGGGTGCCATCTCCACCACATCAGGAAATTTTATGAAACTTCAGTTTTGTGAAACTAAAGAAGTCCTGGGAATTGGGAAAACAAGTGACATAGTGGATTTAGAATCATAGTAGATGATTTGAAAGAGAAAAAGCCCTTGAAGCCATAGATAAGAAAGAAGAAAATAGTTAGTGAGCACTTTTTATAATGACAAGTTGAGCCATAGGTTCTTACCCCACTTTATAGATGAAGAAACTGAGGCTCATGGAGGCCAAGTAACAACCCTGAGTTTCTGAAGCTGTCAGTAGCAACAGTGCAGACAGAATCTGCCTGACTGACTCTGCAACTGTTGTTTTCACTGAGTCTTGTATGAGTTCATCTGCTTTTGTTAATTTACTCCTAGTAGTCACTCTTTTCCTTCCCTGGTTTCCCAGCATTTTTCATTATTTTTCTCATAAAAAACCAGTTCTGTTAAGACACACTGGTGAGAATGGTGTTCCCTAATCTTTTCTGGCCTCAGTACATTTTACAGAACAGCCCAGTGACAGAGCAGTGAGTTTGTGAAACAGAATCAGTTCTGTGCCACTGTCCTTTCCCTGGCCCTGTGTGGTGTGTTTCTATCCCATTCTATTCTTTATATTATGATTTCCTTTAGGTGAAATAGGCTGGCTGTGATCCATTAATCACACCCTTTAATAGCTCATGTCCCATAGTTTGGCCCTTATTTTTAAAGTATGACTTGTAGCTCGAGTACTTTTCAGCAGAGGACAATAGGTTGTCTGAGTAAGAGCCCATCTCCTGTTCAGCTGAACTCAGATCCATGCTGTATGCAACTGGGCACTCTTATTTTACCCCTTTTTGGAGGGGTGGGGAATTCCTTTAAAATAGCATTTCAGCATTAACTTTAGAAATGGGGGCCCTACCTCACTTATTCTTGTGGTGGCTTCCTGTAGATAACATGTATTTTTAAACTGCTTGTCTGTGAGATTGTGACTCGCTCTGCCTCTTCATGCCTTTGATCTTGATGTTTCTGTATTTTCCTGAGGTACTTTATTTAGCAACTTAAGTGAGTTTCAAAACCAAGCAACGGTTTGCCATTCGTCTGTCCAAAATATTGAAATTCTAGCTCACCTTTTTTTAATTTAAGTAGTATAAAGGGGCCTATTAAGAGTAGAATTAATGACCAAGTATCTGATTTTTAATATACCATTTTCTAATTTTACTTTTTAAGAATAAAAAGAGAGAGAGGAGTATGCAAATAGAGTAGAATGACAACACTTGTGTGTCTGTCCCCTTCTCTCTCCGAGAAGTATAATAATGTGTGTCCTGCAACAGGAATGACTGCTGAAGTATACCACTCTTGTCTCTTTCCCCAGCCCTCCAAGCCATAACATTGTGGTGAATGGAAAAGAATGTATAAACTTTGCTTCATTCAATTTTCTTGGATTGTTGGATAATCCTAGGCTCAAGGTAGGTAGCACATATGCTGAAGTGGACAGATAACATAACTGACTTAAGCAACTGGGCATAAAATAAGAGACAAATGCAGATTATCTGAAAGGACTATGTAACTGCTTATCATTGTTCTTTCTTGTCAGAGCTGTAACAAAGGAAGGCAGGAGTGTCCTCATGTGGTTTAGTGTTAGATGACAGCCAGAGAACTATATGAACCAAACCCGGTAATAGTTGGAGATGTGTCCAAGAAATTGCCTCATCTCCTTTTGGGATTGTGGGCTAGTAAACATTTTTTGAGGAAAGTTGTTCAGTCGCCCAGTTATGTCCGACTCTTTTCAACCCCTTGGACTGTAGCATGCCAGGCCTCCCTGCCCCTCACCATCTCCCGAAGTTTGCACAAGTTCATGTCCATGAACTTTGAGGTAAAACTTATGCCCAAAATGCCAAAAGGTGTGAATGCATTGAGTTAACCAGGTTTTCAGATGGTAAAGCGTCTGCCTACAATGCAGTAGACCTGGGTTCCATCCCTAGGTTGGGAAGATCCCCTGGAGAAGGAAATGGCAACCCACTCCAGTACGCTTGCCTGGAAAATCCTGTGGACCGAGGAGCCTGGTAGTCTACAGTCCATGGGGTCTCAAAGAGTCGGACACAACTGAGCAACTAACAACCAGGTTTTAATGATCAAGCTAATATAACTTTTCCATGTCCTTAGTCATATGCCTAAATCTTTCCATCCCTCCTTTCTTTATATCCTGTCAGAATTGTCTTAGTCCTTATAAAGGAGGAAAAGCCAGGTGACTGGGGAGCTATGTGGGTTAAAAAACAGGAAATTTCATTTTTGAATTCTTAAAGCTAAATTATTACAATATATATATTTTTTTCCACGAAGGCAGCAGCTTTGGCATCTCTAAAGAAGTATGGTGTGGGAACTTGTGGACCTAGAGGATTTTATGGCACATTTGGTATGTTTTCTGTCATATTTTTTAGATTACTGCTTTCGGCAATTAAGATCCAATCTGATTTCAAAACTCCTTGGAAAAGGTATCCTTAGTTAGTTGTGGTAATAAGCAGGTGAACTTTCTAAAAGATTTTGTGTTTGAAAGCATTGATGGGAGACGTGTTGATCTCAGGCTGACTGTCCCTTGTGTCAAAGGGCCATGGGTACCAAAAGCGCACTGTCTCAGTAGGACGAAGACTGAGCTCTTGTTGCATTTGCCCCAAGAGACAGTGGTGTGAGGAGACTATCTGCCATGCATGACATTTGTAACAGGAAGCATCTGGTTTGCATGGCTCTGTTCTTTATAGTTGTGCAGGAACCCAGATCTTCCCTGTATTGTTGCTGTTGGCCTAATAAGGGCACCTTCCTTGTCTGCGTGGCTGTAGCCAAATGATGAGTATGGGGGAGCAGGAGTGCAGGGCTGCTGTACCCATTTGGGTGGGCAGGTGGTATTGCTTATCATTCTGCTCACGTTCCATTGGTGAAAACATAACCTGGATCATGTCTCCAGCAGAGGGACTGGGAAGTTGCCCTGGCTGGGCAGCCACCACATGCCAGGAGCAAGGTGAGAACAGATTGGGGGTAAGGGGGGCAGTGGTCAACTGTATAGCCCTTTTCTTTCTGGAATGAACATGAAGGATCATTGATTTTCTTATGTGTGGATGACCTGAGGATGGATTAACTACGTGTTAGGATGAGTGTGATTTCAAACACAGTGAACTCCCTAAATCAGAGTCATCAAAGAAGACCTTGGAATTTTCTGGTGGCTTTTGTTAAATGTATATTGTTCTTTGCTTCTGAAAGTTTCAGAAATGTTATATAATTGTTCAAGTGAGTATACTACTGGAAACAACATTCTGGTTTATGAAATGTCAGAGGGTGGGGAAAGGGGCCAGGGAAGGAAGTCTCTTTTGTCTTCTCTGCTCATTTTCATTTCTTGGTCTGTGTTTGTTTTTTTTTTTTCCACTTCTACAGTTAAGATGTTTTTATTTAAGGGAGCACCTTTCTGTATCCCTTAGCTAGTTTAGTGGTTGAATTATTTGTATTGGAAACAGATGATGGGAGTTGGTGTCCAAGAATCCTGCAGCTGGACAGGATCTTTAAAATCTTTTATTCTTGAATCCCAGCTATTCAGAAGAGAACTAGAAAGTTCAGAGAGGTTAAGTGACTTCCTCATGGTCTCACTGCTAATTAATTTCAACCCTAAAACTAGAAAACAAGTTTTCTGATTTGCAGTCGTAATGGGAAGATCAAAGACTTTAAAGAGCTTAGAGCCTCCCTCTTTCTCCTAACCTAATGCAAACATGAGTTGTTTGCCTGCATTTTATTGGTAGGGTATTATTTCCTTGATAAGAATTAGAAAACTAGAAAAGGCACTTTTTGTTTTTACAGGTTTATTTGTTGTAATCTGATGAACAAGCCTTTCTTTCCATGATCTGCTTGCTGGGGTAAAGAATTTGCTTTCTTAAAAGCCTCTCTTTCTAGCAGATTTTATTTGCTCGTGTGGCCTTGACTCTTGCTCGAGAGTTATCTGAGAAGACCAATAAGAGATTTATTGTAAAATTTAGTGAAAAAAAAGTTTCAAATCTTTAAGAGCAGTTTTCCCAGAACTGTGGAAGTATGTTGTTGTAATCGCCCAGTCAATTTTTCATTTGAATCACCTGAAATATGCATAATAGGATGCTGTGGCTTCCAGATTTGTGTGTGTGTGTGGGGGGGGGGGGTCTTTAATGATTTTTAGATTAATTTTTAAAATGCAGTATAGTTGACAAAAAATATGTTAGTTTCAAGTGTATAGTGATTTGATGTTTACATACATTATGCAGTGATCACCATGATGAGTCTAGCAACCATCTGTCCCCAAAGTTATTACAATATTATTGGCCACATACCCTATGGTGTATATTACATCCCCGTTGCTTATTTATTTTATAACAGGACGTTTGTACCTCTTAATCCCCTGTACCTAATTCTCCCCATTCCTCATCCCCTTTCCCTTTGGCAGCCACATATTTCTTCTTTATGAGTCTGTTTTCATTATGGTTTGTTTGTTTTGTTTTTTCGCGTCCACATATAAGTGAGATCATATGGTGTTTGTCTTTCTCTGCCTGACTTATTGCACTTTTCATAAAACCCTAAATTAACTTTCTTGATTGAATAATTCAGTCCATGATATAAATCTCAAAAAGGTTTAAGAAGATAGTGAAGTCTTCTACCCACTGTCATTCTGCCTCCCAGAAAAGACAGCTGCTGTCAGTAGTTTCTTGTTAATTCTTCCAGAGACTTTTTTTCAGTGTATGCAAACCACTTCCATACTTTTTCACCCCAGTTTTACAAAAATGATAGCATACCCTATATATGTAGTATGCTGTTCAAGTATGTTTTAAATTTAATCTCTCACATGTCTGAATGTAATAAACACATAGTTGTGTTATCAGCTCTTCTGTGAACTACTTTATTTGTCACTGTGTCTTTCTTGGGCATAGTGGTAAAGAATCTGCCTGCCAGTGCAGGCGATGCAAGAGACGTGGGTTCGATCCTGGGTCAGGAAGATCCCGTGGAGTTGGGAATGGCAACCCATTCCAGTATTCTTGCCTGGAATATCCCATGGACTGAGCTCGGTGGGCTACAGTCCGTGGGGTCTCAAAGGGCTGGACATGTCTAAATGACAGCACATACCCACTCACACACATTGTTCTTGTCCTGTTGTAGTTCAAGGTCCAGTCAGACCGTGGTATCGGCGCAAAGATTGAAGGTTAGTTTGCCGTGTGATGGTTTTGTAATAAGACACCAAACGTACAGCCTGGAGTAACATGTGATGTTTTCTGAGTATATCGTCCTTCCTATTAACTTGCTTTGTTCCTTTTCAGCAGTTACCCATGCTTGCTTATCATCTTTTTCCCTTTCTTTATATGTATATTGCATGTATTTTTACTTTTTGGTTTTTCAATAGGATATTTTCTGTTTTTCCTTATTCTGGAACCAATCACTTAAATTATTGTAATTGTATTACATTACCTTGAAATTTCAGTGTAGGTAAGTTTAGGGAAGCTACTTGAGATCTGCTAAGGCTGTATTTTAAATCTCTAAAATACTGTCTACAGTTAAATTATTCTAAATATTTAGGGTGCATTAACCCTTTGCACTGAGCATTAAAGCAGAAGTGAAGACCCCTTTCCTTTCATTTTAGTAGCTTGTGCATTTGTGAGACTAGGGTCTCTTTCCCTGGCCCAGCAAAAGGTTGCTTTTAATCTTGCCTTTTTCTTGGAAGGATCACTCAGGTATCTATTTTCAGTGAAGCAAATGTTGCCTGTTTTAGCTCTCAACATTTCAAATAATGAATGAGAATCACTTAGTGGAAAAGTAAATGTCCTTATTAAAACATTTTCTGCTTATTGTTTGATAGTAAAGTTAGGTGATGCTAGATGATTAACACAGAAAAAAGAAAATTGAGAATTGAGTTAAAATTCTTCTAGTTTCTTAGACTAAATGTTCTCTTGCCTCCTAAAGGCCCAGCAAGTTGTCTTACATAGTAAAGGAACATGTGAATCAGAGGTTTTTCCCCCTTCTCATCTTACTGTTTTAATGTGTATTTTAGAATCAGTCAGATGGTTTTATCAAGTTGTGGAGCCTTCCTTTTCTCTAAGGCTGATGAGGTCCCAGTGCCTTTGATAATTGCTCTTACTGAACCTTTTTATTTTGTTTGTAATGCATTCAGATCTCATTTATTTGTTTATTCCTCAGGCCTGGGATCTGCCTTGCATACTTGGCTCTGTGGTCTCAAACTAAATCAAAAGACAGTTACAGGCAGGGTTTTATGTTGAGAGATAGTGACATTTAATTGTGTTTTAGAGCCAGTAGTAAAGAACTGTTTGTTTATTTTGAAAATATTTTTTCTCTGTTGTAGGATCCTGACTGCATGTTTTAGTAGGAAAAGCACTTGGTCATAAAATTCCTAAATCTGCTACTTCCTTCTACCAGTCATGGGATTGTAGTTTTCTCAGTGTAGGCAGGGAATGATCTTTGTGCAACTTAGAATATTTTGGTAAGAATCACATAAGATACTGTTTGTGAAAAAAATACTGCATGTGAAAGCATTCTGAAAAACATTCAGCACTGTTTTTGTGTTCTAATGAGTATATATGTGATATTTGTACTTTTAAGAAAAATTGTCTGAGTCTCAGGTATTTAAAATATGTAACATAAAAATATGGAAATATAAGAGAAAATATAGTAGGTTGTTTTAAAATTGTTTTAAAGTTGGCAATTTTATGGTTTTTCCTCTGAACAACAAATTTGGCCATAATACCTCCTTTTATTCTGATAAATAGGAAATTGAACCAAGTGGCTTTAATATAAGATAGTCCTTATATTTGGATATCCAGAATTTGGATAGCTTCATTAGAAGGTAACATATCTGATATTTCCTTTTAAAAGAAGAAAACATTTTCTTTTTTTCTACAAATATTAATTTAGTTGGACAAACACACAGCATACTGCTTTTCCCATGCCAGGCATTATTCTGAGTGTTCATGAGCATTAACTCTTGCAGTTCTCCTAACAATCCTTTCAGGTAGGTACACCCGTTGCCATTTGACAGAGGAAGGACCTGAGAGGGACAGAATAGTTTTAGGCCTGTCTGGGGTTCACAGCTGGCAGTGAGGGACCCCAGATCTGAGCCCCTGTGATGACCACCATGGTCAGGCTCTGTGCTTGGTGTGGGGCATCCTGCCCTAGCCTTGCCTCCCACCTGTTACGTTCTGGTGAGGGAGCAGGTGCCACAAAGGGCAGCAAGTGCTGAGAAGACAAGGAGGTGCTGGTCACCTCCTGCCACAGCCTCTTGCCTGCCATATTGGTTCCTAGCAGTGAATTAAAGAATGCTGCATGCAAATCTATGAATCTTAATTGTTGAAATGGATCATACACACAGAAGATAGACATCCAGAGTCCAAGAACATGCCCTGACGGTTTTTTCTGTTGCTGCCTCCCCCGCCCTTTTGTTGAGAATTTCTTCATTGCAGAGTAGTATCATACATAAAAAGAAGTTACACAGTTATCCTTGTTCACCTGTCACAAAACCTGCTTTGCAAGGCTGTCATCAGCTAAAGCCCGGTGTTTTTAGTTAGGAGGAGAAAAGGCCTGTCTTATTTAAGCTTCCGGGACTAGACAAGAACCAGTAAATCACTGACTTATTGTAGAGAGATTCTTCTTACCACTTCATGGTAATGAGATAAAAATGGTTATGAGTATGTGTGGTGAGAGTATTAACATAATTTTTTTATCAACTGAGTTGCTAACTCTAAACCCCTAAAGCAGAGCCAAGATGTGTTTATTTTATTTATTTTTATTTGTTTTATTGCTAATCAGTGAAGAGAATGTTTTAGATCTACAGAATGATTTTTAAATCCCTTTTTGTGGTTGGCAGAAAGTTTGTCTGTATCCACAGCATGTTTTTTCTTTTTGAAATAGAGATAATGAAAGCATTTCACTGTGACTTGGGTAGTATTTATGCTAGCTAAATTGTTGAGATTTGCCATAGCTAATTCCCAGTTTAGAGGCAGCATTGTAATTTGAAGGAGTCCTCCTACATGGGGCGTGCCCTCTCATCTGATCAGAAACGGGAGGCAGTGGAGTGGCGGGGGTCTTCCTGTAGGGAAGGTGCTCAGAGGGCACTAACAGAAGAAAAGGAAGACACACCTGAGCCATGCCTGTGCTCAGCTGCATGGAGGAAACTGGTTGTCTGGTACTTTTCTGCTTTCCTTGTTCTTGTCAGATTTTTGCCTGAAACCTTTCCCTGGAAACATACCTTATAGAAGGGCGGGCAGGCAGGAGCAAAATCAAGTCTTTAGACTTGGTGGTGTTGTTATCACAGGTTTGATGCTTGAAAAGCTAAGCACTCCTTTGGTACCATTTCAATCAACCAGGATGCATCCTTCTAGACCTTGTTATTGTGAAATCTCATGTTTATTTAATATTGATGTATTTAAAGTATCAGTTCTATAAAAATAACTATTTGGTAATGGAAATCAGGTGATATTTCATGTATTTTTTATGTAATAGGCTATATAGGAGTGCTTCCCTGATAGCTCAGTTGGTAAAGAATCCACCTGCAATGCAGGAGACCCCAGTTCAATTCATGCGTCAGGAAGAAGGGATAGGCTGGAGAAGGGATAGGCTACCCACTCCAGTATTCTTGGGCTTCCCCTGTGACTCAGCTGGTAAAGAATCTGCCTGCAGTGCAGGAGACCTGGGTTCTGTCCGTGGGTTGGAAAGATCTTCTGGAGAAGGGAAAAGCTACACTCCAGTATTCTGGCCTGGAGAATTCCATGGACTGTATAGTCCATGGGGTTGCAAAGAGTCGGAATCTACTGAGTGACTTTCACTTTCAGGCTATGTTGGTATACTTTTAAACTTATAAATGGGCAGAAGCATGCCTAGATTTTTTTTTTTAAGTATATTTTTTTAAATCATTGCTTGATTAGAATGGGATAAATAGTTCAGTTTCACAATTCTGTATCATCCTTTAAGAAGCCTACGAATGAAGTAGACTTTGATTTATTTTATTTTTCGGATACTGCTGCTAAATTTTCTAATTCCTCACTGTACCTCTCTTGCCATCAAATTGGGATTTAGTTTGGACCCTCTGTGTTGTCTTCTCTCTTGCTCAACTACTGGCTCCCACTCCTGCAGAGTTTAGTTCATGATTGAGGGACCTCTGCCTTTAGTCAGAAGTCACTATGGAGGTGTTGCAGTTCTGAGTGTAGAAGGGACCCAAATGCTTCAGACCAGGAGACCGAAGGCACAGCTTAGTCTTTTGTCTGCCCTGTAGACTCAAGAGTTCTCCATTGAGAACTGCCAGATGCCTCTCTTAGCTGTCTCACTTTGTCAAATGGCAGGAGCCCTGTATTTCTCCCTGACCCAGTGCTTATCAGAGTATCTTTATGTCATACTTACTACAATTGAATTAACTGAGATTGTTAGCCCTCATCTCCTTTTAAAAATGTAGTCCTTTGTGAAGTTGTATCTTTTATAATTCTCAATTTTGTCTCATTAATTAAAAGGCATCAGCTTGCCTCTGATATATCAGTAAGTGGGTTTACAGAGTTTACACACTTTAGTCAAATGTTCTAAAAAGTTGTTTATTCCTATTGCTGAACTTACCCCTACCTGGAAGGTGATGGAAGCTTTATAATTAACTAGGTCCCTGTCCCTTACTGTGGAAATATTTAGTCCACTCAGAGTCCAGCTTTGTTTAGCTGGATTAAGTTGTTTCTTTTGTATCTCTCAGTCCTTCAGGTCTTTTCCCTCTCCACTTTCTCACTAGGAATGCCTCTGGTGGGGGGGGCATACCGCAGGGAAGGATGATGCTGAAGGGATCTCTTGGTGTGATGCTCCCACCTACAGGTCCTCACCATCTAGGCTGAAGGGAGGGTTCTGCTGGGCTGTCAGCCTTCTTCACCAGCCCTTGCTTGAGAACATCTAGGTCCTCTGCCACTGCCTGCACTCCGAGTTCCCTCAGTGGAGGTGCCCCGGCTCTGTCTGAAAGCCTGCCTTTACTCCTCTGAGCGCCGCCTCTTCCTCTTGAAACTGCAAGGCTAGAGGGGCCTGTCTGCATGTTCCCTGTATGCGCTTCTGAGTTCTCCTTGCACAGGGCATGTGTAAAACGCTGATCTGGTTCTCCAGACTTGGGTCCTGCTGTAGTTAAAAGAGCTAAAGGAAGTTGAAAAAATTTTTCCGCTCTTGGGTAATGCTTCAAGACACCTTAAAAAGTTTTCCAGTTCAAAGCCAGTCAGCATACTGTTTATTCCAGATATCGCTGGTCTTTTCATCCGAGGGCCTGGGAAGGTGAAAGGCTATATGGAACCATGATGTAAGAGAGAAGAAAAAAAACAGTTTAATACAATTTATCTCTATGATTATACCAACATTCTTCCTAAGCTGCTTCCATAAAAGGACCATATTTCTCTTTGTACTCTACATTTGAATTCACCAGTGCTCTTAAAAAGAAAATTCAGACAGAAATTCAGTCCTACAGTGTGATGGAAGGTGCTACCAATAAATGCTGACACAAACTGTCAGCAGAGTGACCTCCATAGTTGAGAAAGTCTCCCTGTCAGTGAAGAGTGTATGGAGTTCTTTTTAACTACTTTGCTTTTTTCATTCTTTTCCTTTTAAAAGCTGGTTGACAGTCGTCTTAATGCCTGGTTTGGTCACTTCTGCTAATATGCAAAAAGGCATTAATAAATTACCATTGTACATTGATAACACCTCAGCATTGTTGATTGAGAGAAGTTAAAGCAGGCAAAGTGACAGGGACTTGAATTCTTACTGCTAGAGTGATACGAAAGCAAAAGCAAGAGTCAGAGCCATCTCAGTCACACATTTATGGACAAATGAGTAGCTGACTCAGTTCACAGAATATAGAAATAGTTTGGGCCTGGAATTATCTTAGTAGATATTGTGTTATAACTAAAAACAATTACATTTGACCACAAGGTGACTATTAATAACTAAACTGCCTATGTTATTTCTTCTTTAGTCAAAGAGAAAGAATTAAAAGACCTTTTAACCGTTTAACTTTTTACTCTTGAACTAGACGTGCACTTGGATTTAGAAGACCGCCTGGCAAAATTTATGAAGACAGAAGAAGCCATAATATACTCATATGGATTTGCCACTATAGCTAGTGCTATTCCTGCTTACTCTAAGAGAGGGGACATTGTGTTTGTGTAAGTAACCTTTACCTACATTTCTCATCAAAATTCCTTTGGAAATAATGTTGGCCTTTCTAGAGAATGCCTCTGTTAGAGATCATCTACCTAAAATATTGTTTTTTTTTTTTTTTTTTGACGTTGAGAAGGTCAAACTTCTGCAGGAAGGGGCCAGCCCTCTGCCTTCCCTATGCAGCTCCTGACAGCATTGTGTCCTTGTGAGTTAAGAAAGTCCCCAGTTAGGGGCTAGATTTTTAATAAAGCATAGTTACAACTACAGTGTCATCCAGTATTGCTTTGTACAAGTACCACCCCATAAATTCCGTTTTGAGTTTAAAGTTCAGAAAAAGCTTACAGTTAAACAGTTGAACTTGTATGCTTCCGTTGTCAGATAATAAATACTATATTGTCCTTTTGGTTTAGTTGGGAAACCTAGTCTAAATTCACTTTCAAGTCTTATGCCTGGTGTCTTAGAACTTAAATTTGTAGTACATCATTAGACAACTTAATTATATCCTTGTACATAATTTTAAATATTCCACCTGAAATCTAGGTAGGAACACTGGAGGTAAAAATGATACTTAGTAAATGGTTTAATGAATTGTTTTTGATAATTTCACTAGGCATAGGCAATATGCCCGAGGTTTTATTTTCTTTCTTCTGTAGTAAACCGTGATAATGCTTTGCCTACAGATCTCAGAGCAATGGCTGTTGATATACTTAAGTCTTTCCTTGTTACTTTATCTTTGTTACTTTATGTACCCTTTCCTAATGAAATGCTTTATGTTGATATATTGTGGCTTTACGTACACCTGTAAGAAATGGAGAGATTTTCTGGACCTTTTACCTAGTCTTCCCCAAAGGTCACCTCTTGCAAAACTGTAGTACAGTTTCACACTGGAATGTAGACACTGATAAAGTCAAGATAACCCCTGGTGTTGTCACGCCTCTGCCCTTTCTACCCTGCTTGCTCTTGAACCCCTGGCAGCCACCACTCTCTTCTCCTGTTCTGTAATTTCGTCATTTCAAGATCGCTGCACTAAATTGCTGATCACCTACTATATGTAATCACATAGTAGGTAATATTTGAGGATTGCCTTTCTTCATTTTGAATGAATTTTCCAGAGATTCTCCAGAATTATTGTGTAAAACAGGAGTTTGTTCCTTTTGATTGCTGAGCCACATTCCATGGTATGGATACACCAGAGTTTGTTGAATCATTCACTTCTTAAGGACATCAGAGTTGTTTTTAGTTTGGGGCTATTACAAGTAAAGATGCAATAAATATTCATGTACAGGTTTCTCTGTGAGCTTAAGTTTTTATTTGCAATATAGACGAAAGGGTACAGTTGCTGGTCATGCAGTGTTACACATTTCACTTTTTAAGAAATTGCCAAACTTTTCAGAGTGGCTGTATTATTTCACATTTCTGTCAACAGTATATAAGTGATCTAGTTTCTCCAACATCCTCAGCAGCATTTGGTGTTGTCACTATTTTTTGTTTTAGCCATTCTGTAGGTGTATAAAGATATCACATTGTGGTTTTAGTTTATATTTCCCTGATGACTAGCCATACTTAACTATTTTTAGACTTTGTTAGTCTTGGCGTTGGAGAAGGAAACGGCAGCCTACTCCAGTATTCTTGCCTGGAGAATCCTGTGAACAGAGGAGCCTGGTGGGCTGCTATCTATGGGGTTGCACAGAGTCAGACACGACTGAAGCAACTTAGCATGCATGCATGCATTGGAGAAGGAAATGGCAACCCACTCTAGTGTTCTTGCCTGGAGAATCCCAGGGACGGAGGAACTTGCTGGGCTGCTGTCTGTGGGGTTTCACAGAGTCAGACATGACTGAAGCGACTTAGCAGCAGCAGCAGTCTTGGCATCAGAATAATACTTTATGAGGTCAATTTGAAAGTGTTCTCTCCTCTTCTAGTATTTTCTGGAGAAATTCTGTAAACATTTGTTAGAATTCTCCAGTAAAAACAGCTAAGCCTGGAGTTGTTTTGTTTTGTTTTGTTTTAGAAGTATTTTAACTATGAATTTGATTTCCTTAGTACTTATAAGGCTATTTAAAAATTGAGTAAGATGAGGTAGTTAGTGTTTTTTCAAGTACTTGGTCCATTTCTTCTGAATAATCAAATTGTATGTATAGCATACTTTGTGGTATTCCTTTATTATCCTTCTAATGTGGTATTCCTTTATTGTCCTTTGAATGTCTAGAAGTCCATTTCCTTCCTGATTGGTATTTCTGTCTATTCTCTTTTTTGTCATTTTTGCTAGAGATTTGTTAATTCTATTGATCTTTTTTTTTTAAAAATCAACTCTCTTTCATAGATTTTTGGTACAGTGTATTTTTGTTTTCATTTCTGCTGATTTCTGTTGTATTTCTTATCTCTTCATTTTCAGTTTATCTTGTTCTTTCTAGGTTCTTGAGGAGAGAACTGCAATTACTAATTTGAGGCTTTTCTTTTTTTCTAATATGTTCAGTTCAGTTCAGTCGCTGAGTCTTGTCCAACTCTTTGTGACCCCATGAATCGCAGCACACCAGGCCTCCCTGTCCTTGACCAACTCTCGGAATTTACTCAGACTCATGTCCATCGAGTCGGTGATGCCATCCAGCTATCTCATCCTCTGTCGTCCCCTTCTTCTCCTGCCCCAATCCCTCCCAGCATCAGGGTCTTTTCCAATAAGTAAACTCTTCGCATGAGGTGGCCAAAGTATTGGAGTTTCAGCTTCAGCATCAGTCCTTCCAATGAACACCCAGGACTGATCTCCTTTAGAGTGGACTGGTTAGATCTCCTTGCAGTCCAAGGGACTCTCAAGAGTCTTCTCCAACACCACAGTTCAAAAGCATCAATTCTTCGGGGCTCAGCTTTCTTCACAGTCCAACTCTCACATCAATACATGACCACTAGAAAAACCATAGCCTTGACTAGACGGACCTTTGTTGGCAAAGTAATGTCTCTGCTTTTTAATATGCTATCTAGGTTGGTCATAACTTTCCTTGCAAGGAGTAAGCGTTTCTTAATTTCATGGCTGCAATCACTCTCTGCAGTGACTGTGGAGTCCCCCAAAAAAAGTCTCTCACTGTTTCCACTGTTTCCCCATCTATTTCCCATGAAGTGATGGTAGCAGATGCCATGATCTTAGTTTTCTGAATGTTGAGCTTTAAGCCAATTTTTTCACTCTCCTCTTTCACTTTCATCAAGAGGCTTTTTAGTTCCTCTTCACTGTCTGCCATAAGGGTGGTGTCATCTGCATATCTGAAGTTATTGATATTTCTCCTGGCAATCTTGATTCCGGCTTGTGCTTCATCCAGCTCAGCATTTCTCATTATGTACTCTGCCTATAAGTTAAATAAGCAGAGTGACAATATACAGCCTTGACATACTCCTTTCCCTAATTGGAACCAGTCTGTTGTTCCACGTCCAGTTCTAACTGTTGCTTCCTGACCTGCATACAAGTTTCTCAAGAGGCAGGTCAGGTGGTCTGGTATGCCCGTCTCCTTCAGAATTTTCCACGGTTTATTGTGATCCACACAGTCAAAGGCTTTGACATAGTCAGTAAAGCAGGAATAGATGTTCTTTTGGAACTCTATTCCTTTTTCAATGAGCTAGCGGATGTTGGCACTTTGATCTCTGGTTCCTCTGCCTTTTCTAAAACCAGCTTGAACATCTGAAAGTTCACGGTTCATGTATTGCTGAAGCTCGGCTTGGAGAATTTTGAGCATTACTTTACCAGCGTATGAGATGAGTGCAATTATGCTGTAGTTTGAGCATTCTTTGGGATTGTCTTTCTTTGGGATTGGAATGAAAACTGACCTTTTCTAGTCCTGTGGCCACTGCTGAGTTTTCCAAATTTTCTGGCATGTTGAGTGCAGCACTTTCACAGCATCATCTTTCAGGATTTGAAATAGCTCAACTGGAATTCCATCACCTCCCCTAGCCTTGTTCGTAGTGATGCTTCCTAAGGCCCACTTGACTTCACATTCCAGGATGTCTGGCTCTAGGTGAGTGATCACACCATCATGATTATCTGGGTCGTGAAGATCTTTTTTGTACAGTTCTTCTGTGTATTCTTGCCACCTCTTCTTAATATCTTCTCCTTCTGTTAGGTCCATACCATTTCTGTCCTTTATCGAACCCATCTTTGCATGAAATGGTCCCTTGGTATCTCTAATTTTCTTGAAGAGATCTCTAGTCTTTCCCATTCTGTTGTTTTCCTCTGTTTCTTTGCATTGATCGCTGAGGAAGGCTTTCTTATCTCTTTGCTAGTCTTTGGAACTCTGCATTCAAATAAGAGTATCTTTGCTTTTCTCCTTTGCTTTTCACTTCTCTCCTTTTCACAGCTATCTGTAAGGCCTCCTCAGACAACCATCTTGCCTTTTTGCATTTCTTCTCCATAGGGATGGTCTTGATCCCTGTCTCCTGTACAATGTCATGAACCTCCGTCCATAGTTCATCAGGCACTCTATCAGATCTAGTCCCTTAAATCTTTTTCTCACTTCCACTGTATGGTCATAAGGGATTTGATTTAGGTCATACATGAATGCTCTAGTGGTTTTCCCTACTTTCGTCACTTTAAGTCTGAATTTGGCAGTAAGGAGTTCATGATCTGAGCCACAGTCAGCTCCCAGTCTTGTTTTTGCTGACTGTATAGAGCTTCTCCATCTTTGGCTGCAAAGAATATAATCAATCTGATTTCAGTGTTGACCATCTGGTGATGTCCATGTGTAGAGTCTTCTTTTGTGTTGTTGGAAGAGGGTGTTTGCTAGGACCAGTGCGTTCTTTTGGCAGAACTCTGTTAGCCTTTGCCCTGCTTCATTCCGTACTCCAAGGCCAAATTTGCCTGTTACTCCAGGTGTTTCTTGACTTCCTACTTTTGCATTCCAGTCCCCTATAATGAAAATGACATCTTTTTTGGGTGTTAGTTCTAAAAGGTCTTGTAGGTCTTCATAGAACCGTTCAACTTCAGCTTCTTCAGCATTACTGGTTGGGGCATAGGCTTAGATTACTG